TTCAGTCGACTACCTCATAATTCTATCATGGAAGCGCTTGACTGGATACTACATCACTACGCAGGTAAAAGGAAAAACAGACTGGCGATTAAAAAAAGAGGGAAAGAAACATCGTTCTCCAGCAAAAACGGTAATTATGTGCCCTGCAATGTACGTAAGAGGGATGCATGATGTTTTTTGGGGAAACGACAGTTTCCGAACAGAATGGAGAACGGAAGCTGAAGCTTTGGTTAAATGTGAGAGGCGCTATAAGAGAGCGGGTCTGGAAAAGTTAGGGAAATGGGAAGGATCGGGGAAATTTGGACGAGCGTACATAATTCCTAAAAATAAGGACCTATCTAAGGTTCGCCCCGTTAGCCAGTCCTTCTCGGAACCCTCAAAAACTGCCACTAGCAAAGTGGCCCGCGCGCTTAACCACCTTTTTTTCCTACAAGCTACTGCCAAGAAGTATGCAGTTTAATCTGAAGTTGACTAATATGCTGCTGCGGAGGATTACAAAGGTAAACAACTTGGCTGAGAAGAGAAAGAAAGGTAGTTTGTTGAGCGCCTCCTTTGATATCAAAGAGATGTTCAGTCGACTACCTCATAATTCTATCATGGAAGCGCTTGACTGGGTACTACATCACTACGCAGGTAAAGGGAAAAACAGACTGGCGATTAAAAAAAGAGGGAAAGAAACATCGTTCTCACTGAAGAATGGATCTGATAGCTGGTTGACCATTAGCTTTCAGGAAATTCTCAATATGATCAACTTCGAACTTCAGAATACATATGTCGTGGCTGCGGACCGACTTATTAGACAAGAAGTTGACATTCCTATGAGCAAGAGTACAAGCCCACCATTGGCTTGTATACTATGTGCCTTTAACGAATACAACTTCCTGTCTAGTTTGGGATCGAACAAACGATTTTTCTTTTCATCTGGAGCGATGGAAAAATGAATAATCGTAAGGCGTTGGACATTATTTCTCGGTTTTCAACGGCCTATGACAAAGCATTAACACTGGAACGAACAGACGAAGGAGAAGGGGAATGGGAATTCCTTGGGACGAAGGTAATAGTAGAAAAGGGGAAAAAAGTGACGACCCAGCTCGTCCAGAGAAATCTAAAGGAGATCTGGGAAGATGGCATACTAAACCTTCAGGACAATCCAAGATTTTAACTCGTACTCGGTTGTTTCACAGAAAAAAGTGGTAATTACTTGTTGCCTGCATAGGATCTACCAGATTACATCTGACGTACAACAGACTGGCCTAGGACTGCTCACCTTTAAAAGATTCCTAAGACTGCAAACTTACCTGGGTAAATACTTCAAAGAATGCCTGAGTAAGTTCATTAAGAAACGAGCGCCCTCATGGAACGAGTGGGGCAGGAAATTCTGCAGGTGGTAGGTCATGATGAATGGGATGAATAACATCTTACTAGTGATTCGGATTTTGTACAGCGAGGAGATTGTCTGTAATTTCGTGCAGTGATAAGCGGACAGATAGTTCTACTTCGACGTGTTTGCTGTTATGTCCGCTACCGTTTTCCAAGCAGCTACTGGACGGACGTGTGGATCTGCGATCTCTTCTCAGATACTCGGACTTGGATTTTCGGACTTGGAAATTGAAACTACATAGGCCCTTCCCGGGACCTGCCTGACGTGATTACGAATACGACAGACTTTTTGACGGACCTACATGAGCTATGAGATAGCGGGGCCGTTTATCTACGATCTCTCCCGTGGATAATCGGTTTTTGAACTTGGAACTATGGAGGCTTCGAATTTCGCTCGATTTATTACATATACGACAAAGAATCCCCGTCATTTTAGGTTTTAGGATTTGAGCTCAAATTTCGGAACTGGACTTTGGAAAACGTGTTCGGAGATTAAGGCAAGCCAAGGTTACAAGGGACTTGGAATTCTGGAACGGGAAACACACGTACCTGGTACCGACGAGCTGATCCTGCATGGAAAAGAGAAACGGTATTAGTATTTATCCACAGAGTAGGTTCTACCAAACATCTCGGAGTTAATGTTTTTCCCTCCTGATGAGGCTGGCCCTGGCCCCAGCCAAAACCGGTTGAGGGTAGCCAGACTGCCGTCTGCCCGCGGGCGGTAGGTTGCCATAGCTTAGACTATGTGATACTCTTGTAGAGTAATACTCTTGTGTTTCTTCTTCCTATCTGCATAGAGTAATACTCTTGGGTTTTCTTCTTCTTACTTGTAAGAGTATCTTAATTCCGAGCCTTTTCACATTTTGGCATGTCGTCTTGCACGCTACGTGCCTGTGTTTTGCGTACTGCCGATTCAGCCCGTGATGACGTCGGTGCTCTCGCTCTCCATTCCAATCCAAAGGAAGTCCCCTCGTGCGGGGCAGAAAAGCGAACTGGAACCCCACACAGGCGGGTTCCGCTGGTCTTTCCCAAGTACCGCGGCGGAGTTTTTTGGGCTTCAACGGCGATATGGCCTGGCCTCCAGCGGTGGCACAGTCCTCTGCTTCACTGACATACCAGCCCACCAATGGCAGACATAGAAAAGGGCGACTCAGTTTTTAGGGGTCCTCGACCTTTCCGTTTTGTGTAGTGCAATTGGGCCGTTCATCACGGCCTACGCGCCACGTACACATAACCCGAAAACGTACCCCTAACAAAGGGCGGCGCCCTGTGATTTCGGAAAGTGGTGGGGTCTGCCTTTCTCAACATTTTTGCCTAAGTTAGGGCCAGATCCCATTAGCCCCTATTGTTCATTTCTGACCGTTGATCTTCGTAATCGAGGGCGGACAATGAATAATCCAGGGTAGTGGGATCTGACCCTTAGGCACTGTCGGATCAGAAGCTAAGTGCAACCAGGGCTGCAGTTCGACACGATTCTCCCTTTTTTTACTCTCCACACATCCGCCACGAATTGTGGCGGATTGCGAGTAGTGCAATTACCGTCTTTCCCCGAACATAACGCACCCTAAAAATGAATGCAAATACAAGCTATATTTCCGGCCAGATACAGCCAAAATAAGGGGGCGTTGTGTTCGGCGGAAGACGGTAGGCCCACTCTCACACTTGTGGACACTTTCGACGGAATCGAGGCGCATATGCGGTCGGATTCGTACCAGTCAGTGTGTGTGAGGGTAACCGCTTAAAACAGTTGAGATGAGATGAAGATAGGATAAGGAACACAGCAACAACGGAAAGAAACACTGGAACAATTGAGAGGTCATGATTCCCGTCGAAAAAGCGAGAACAAGAAGAAAACTAAAGAGGAAAAGAAGAAAAACTGTTTGAATCGGAACAGTGAATAGGATAACCAGCGGGCTTAGCTCAGTTTCTACACCAACGAGCTGTTGAAATTCAGACCTCACTTCAAATCCCTATCAGCTCAAATGAGTAAATAACTTCCAATTTATCTGAGGCTGGTCAGTTTGAAGATGATTATATCTCAAGGCCATCTACCGTAGGCAGAGAGGGAGAAGAGGACACCAAACGAGCGAGGGCTGTGACAAACTGTCTCGTCGGAGTTTCACCGACTCATCAGGAGGCATATATATATTGACGATATATATATATATATGACAAACTGTTTCGTCGGAGTTTCACCGACTCATCACGAGGTATATATATGCCTCCTGATGAGTCGGTGAAACTCCGACGAAACAGTTTGTCACAGCGCCTCGTCGAGCGGTAGATATCAGAGGGAGCTTTTAGAACTGGGGTGAGGTGGCGGCAGCGAAGAGGATTGGATTAGGTGTCTGAATGTGAACGTGTTTTATGCAGAGATGCAGAAAAGCAGACCAATCGCCGTTTTCTGCACCTCTCCACAAGCACGTCCACATTCAGGCGTTCAATCCAAGGTTGGTTTTTACACTAATATAGAAAGACTTCGTTATACAATCCTCTTTGCTACTGGAGAAGAAGATTGGCTAAAAAAAAAAAAAAAAAAAAAAAAAAAA